TAGGATTTATACTTTAATACGTCTTGTATGACATCTGGACAATCGTTCCCTCGGTTTGGGATTTGGGGTGTTAAGGAAACCATTTAAGCTGTCTGGCATGTTAGTGTGTGCCTTTCCCTAAGGCAGGTTAGTTTCAAAGTTTGTATTGAAGTACTGTACGTGTGGCGAGCACCGTCATCCGACGGGATTTGTCTGGAGTTTCCCAAGGGAAAGTGTCTGCTGCAATGTTCTGTGAAGCGAAGTGTCTTTCTGTCACTTACAGCGGAGGTGGGATCATGTTGTGTTCTTGCGGGGCGGGGGGTTGTTTGCTTTTCATACGCTATGTTTCTAGAGTAATTACTTTTGAGTCTATGTGTCAGGGAAAGCATTACTTTTTGTCATTGTAGCAATTTTGAATGTAGCATGGCCTGGTTGGAACTGAACTGAGGCCACGTGTGGAATTTGAGGGGTTTTGATATATATTTGTGTGTGTGTGTGTGTATATATATGTATGTATACACAAGCACATCTACGTGTGTGTGTGTGTACATATATATATTTACACATACGCACACACCTTTTTTTTCCTGGAAGCCAGGTTGAGAAGTTGTTACCACTATTCAAGTTTAAGGCAATCTGAGGTCTCTTTCATTAGTGAAAACTTACATGCTTTATGTTATTTATTACAACACTTTAATGCGCCTGTTACTTTCTTGTTTTATTTCCTTTTTTTTTTTTCCCAAACTGAAATAGGCAGAATACCTTTGTTTTTATTTTGGTTAGTGCAGCTATGCTTTTCTGTTCTTTGTGGCGTAGAACGCGGCCTTCCCTTGGCCAAATTCATCTACAGAAATGTAGGTTTTTGTATTTTTTTTCCCAACCAAAAAGGAAGAATGTAAACACTTCAGACGAATCTGTAGCACTTGTTAGACCTGAATGAATGCATTTTTCCATTTTTTTGCATTATTTATCTCCCTTTAGCTCTTTCAAATTATATCAGTTTGAAAAATCTATCTTAACAGGTGAAGTCAGCACACTTGATAGCTATATTATATATATATTTTTTTTAAATGGGCTATTTCTCTATTTTATTTGATCTTCCTTTTATTAATGAAAAAAATCACCAGAAAGCAGGAAAAGTAATTAAACACAAGCATTAAAAATATTTCCTGTTCAAAAATGTGTTGATCTATTGTAAGAAATTGGACAACTTCATTCAATAGGTGGGAGATTTCCTTTTGGTACCTGTGTGTTCAACTTGGGAAGACTGCGGACTCCTGGGTTGATTTATTACCCCCCTTTACACAGGGAGCCTTCTGGCCATACCTGTTCTCTTGCATGGAAATTGCAATATGGAGATGGAAAAGCCATTGAGAATGCTTGCTGATTTAATAACACTTTAGTATTTTGACAGAAGTGGTATGTTCTCAGCCTGTGTCAGTTACCATCAAAGTTAATGGGTTCCTCGTAATTTATATCGTCATTGAGGTTTGTCCAGATCTTCAGCTAAATTTTGCTTTCAAATCAATTGATTCCTTCGTATGCTGTTGTGTGAGGGAGGGGAGGCTTCGCTATCGAGTTGCACCTTGAGAAGCAAAATTAGACCGTGCCTAATTAAGTAACTGCAGAAACTAATAGAGCTTTATCACGTACAGTTAAGTGAGGTGACTTATCGGTGGAAAATGTAGGGTAAGACCCTTCTCTTATCCCATAATTGTGAAAATTATGGTATTTTGTCGTCTGTCAGTCTCTAGGCAGTGCAGAGGGTGGCTGTGGCTGTGCTGCAGGGAGACCTCTGCCAGCAGGTCTCCAACCTGGGCTGCCCAGGAGCCATCAGAAACTTTCAGTCACTCGCAAGGCTGAGCCTGATGATAATGGGTTCTCCAGTCGTTTCCCTGCAGGCTGTAATTTAGCAAAAAGCCACTTAAACCCATATTTGTGGAGAGGCAGCAGGATGTGTACTAGGTAGCAGTGAGTCTTGGAGCTCTGGGCAGGTTTTCTATTTAATCTTTCAATAGAGAGTAATTGCAGCAGAGCTTTTAATCGTAGGTCTTAACCAGTTTTCTTCCATGTGTTCAGCAAAATCTGACCTTGTACATCTCAGTGCAATGTGTGCATGTCGAAGGCCCGTGAAATCGGATGTATGTTTTCTTTAAGAAGTATTTCTTTCTGCAGAAGTTACCAGACTTATAAGTCACTGTTGAAATAATGAGTCCCTCAAACTTGAGAAGAAATGAGTTCTGTAAGATGAAAACTGTAAAAATGAAGTGGCCGATATAGTGTGGTTGAGAAACTGAGCTGTTTTGAAAAAATTTAAAATTTATTTTTCATGTTGATTGTTGTAATGTATTTTCTGAAGTAATTTTTCATAAAGAACAGTTTTGAAAGATTTTTTTCACCCTTTATTTAACAGCTTTTGAATGAAATAATTTAGAAATTGGGAAAAAACAGGAAGATGTAAATCAGTATTTTGATTACTTTCAACAGTTTTCGAAAAGAGGTTGATTTTTATCACTCATGTGATTCCCAAGTGTTTTTTTCTAGCTCTACAAGTAGTAATTTTCAGCAATGTATGTATTTTACTATGGGTTTAAAGACAAATTATAACAGTTTAAATATGTCAGTGTTTGAAAGATCTCCAAATGATAGAAACTGTATGTATCATTAACATACCTACAATTGTGTCACTTTATTGCTACTTAAAGTATATTCTGTTTCCTACACATGCACATTTACCTGAAGTGTGTGTATTTATATACCTCTGTGAAATCTCAAGTATGGCTCTTGCATTTTTGGGATAGATAACATGGCTAATTGCGGTGCCTTTGAAGTACAAATCTTTTGATTATGATGTTGTTTATTTTAAAGAGGTAATATAGGTTTGCTCCCTGTATTTAATATAGGTTTGGAACAATATTGATATAGTGGATATTTGGATATAGTGTTGTATTTCGGAACTCTATCCCACAGGTAGGAGGCAGTGTTTGTTAGGTGGTACTTGGTTTTATTTATGGATATTTAAGACTGATAGCCTAGTGTTTGAGTATGACTAGGGTTTAATTATCTTGATTGTGGTACCTATGTAAAATATCTTCTCCTTTCAGGAAACGTACGTTGCTGCTCAATAACGTATTTGCAGTTGTGGCTGCACTGTTGATGTCCCTCTCTTCGTTAGCAGGGTCATTTGAAATGCTTATACTGGGCCGCGTTATAATGGGTGTTGATGCAGGTAAGCTTTTATTGTTGTGTACCTACATGTAACGTTTGTGATGTGCATAATCTTCCTTCTCTCCCCCGCTGAGGTCTTTCCTTTATATTAAAGCAGCGTGTCAGGGATTAGCCACACTGATTTCAGTGGGACAAAGCAGCAGAACAAAGATCAGAGGATCTGACTTTCGGTGAAGACACTCAAATGGATACTAGCCGCAACAGTCTGTCCCCTTTGTTCCTTCTCCTTTCCTCCCACTGCCCCTAGAACATGTCTTGTCTTCATGCAGTGGGAATCCTTTTGCTAGGAGTGTGGGGTCTGTTGATTAAAGCTGCTTGCTGTTTTGCGTTTAGGAATTGTTGGATCATAAGCTAGTACCAGCAGGATTAAGTTGAAGGTATGGAGCACTGAAATTCACTTCTAGCAACATCATTTTCTCAGTGTTAAAGTCAATTATGGAATTGTTACTGCACCCGAATAATCCTGCATTGAGCGGTGTACTCTAAAATTCTGAGTAATTTCACTGATCACTGAATGGTGAGAAATATTTACTCAATCTGGTGCAGACTTCTAGGTGAATTAAGACAGTTTTAGCCTCTCAGTTTAATTCTTTGAATGTAAAGCATCGAACATGCTTTGGCCTTTGCATCAAGCTGGTGGAAGCTTTGACTGTCTTGCTCGTGAGCACAAACTGCAACTGCTTGAAGGCAGTTGTCTTTCACAGTGTGCATGCAGCCTGTGGATAATTTTGGTGTTGGCTGCAAACTTTTGTCTCAGTTTAGCGCCAGATTGCTAAATGTGTGGATCTTTGTAAATATTGTCAGTGTGCTCAACCAGGGTCATAAATCTTTTTTTATCTTCTGGTTTTGAACTGCATTCTCCCTTATTTTGTGCCTGCTGTTACAAGTTCATCACAGCTGTAACTGTATTGAGAGGAACATCTGCTAATACTCAGTATACTATACAGTAAAAATGTTTCCTTTGATACTGTCTGCTGTGTGTGCTTGACCACTGCTAAGTGCTTTTTTTTTTCTTACCTGTACCCATGCTGACTTGATTTCGCTTACTTTGAGATAAACAAATTTAAAATGTAAAATCCACTCTCCTGGTGATTCTCCTCTCTGAGCAACCTTTACTGCTTCTTTTCAAATAGCAGCCTACACACATCTCTGTAGCTCTGTAATATAGATAATCAATCTGATGGTTATTAAATGGTGCGAGAGTAATTAGACCTGCAGAGAAACTAATTCTTATTATCAGAGGATGCATTTAGTTCTATTCTTTGCAGGTTTTTATGCTACTTTTGTGAGCAGATTACTACTCAGACTCCTCTCAAGAGACACAATGAAAAGTCAGTTCATCTCGATTTATTTTCTTGTTTCCTTCCTTCACAGGCATTTCTCTGAGTGCCCTTCCCATGTATTTGAGTGAAATATCTCCCAAGGAAATCCGTGGTTCATTGGGTCAGGTCACAGCAATTTTCATCTGTATTGGTGTTTTCACTGGGCAAGTGTTGGGGCTTCCGGAAATATTTGGGAAAGTAAGTATTTAAGAGCTATTTTATTCTATGAAAGAATGCAGGCATGTATTTTGATGGAGTTCTTTACAAAAATGGAACCATTGTGTTTTGTTTAGAAGCACTTTGAAAAGTGCTTTCTTCCATGCCTTTAAAAAGTGCGTATGTGTGACTGAGTTTGGTAGATGTGGCAAACACTTTTAACAGCTAGAGTGGCTTGTACGTGCGTGCATATGTGTGTTTTCCCACCTTACCTCCGTTTCTTGACGTACTTTTCTTTTGTGATTTGTACTGCTTTCCTGTTTCTTTAGCTACAACAAAAGCACTTGGAGTTTTTGCATATTCATTTATAATTCTTTGACTTGAGATGGAATTGCAAAGGGCTTACAATCTTTACAAGAGCCTGCACACAAAGGCTCTGGCCAATGATTTCAGTGCTTCTTGTAATATAGTCACACTTACAGGTTGCTAGGTGAAAGAACAGGCTAACATATCCCTTTATGGAAAGAGGAAAATCTATTCCGATGAATGAGGTTCTCTTGCTGTCGTAGGCTGGGATTAACTTGGTGGCCACTGGATGTCATCATTACTCTGAGTAAATGAAGCCGAGGTTTATTCAGGCTGGCGCTTGGAAATAATTTTCATCTGGAGACGAATCTTTGAAACGTACGCAGCAACCCTCTTTCGGTGAAACCTGAAACCCCCTTCTGACAGCCAGCACTAGTGGTAAAGAGCTCAAAAGCGAGAGGAGCTTGTCTTTCTGTGTCCATCCACATTCAGCTGCTTTGGAAAGGAGTGACTCCAGCTGCCCCAACCCTTTTATTTTTATCTGACCAACTCTCCTATTCTGTCCCTTTACCTTCGTCCTCACTTACCAGATTTGGATCCCCGGAAGGCTAATGGTGTGATTCAGTTTACCCTTTTGTTAAAAGACAGATGTTCCCTGCCCCCTGACACACCATCACCAATTAAAACAGCTTTCACTGTCTTTCATTGCGTGGCTTCTGCAGACATCCCTTGTCTCGCTTTTGGAAGCTAGTCTATTATAGACAAGGGTAGTAAATGTCAAAAGGCTGATTCAAGTGCTTCGAATACATATCAATGCTTACACAGTACACTTTGATTTCTTGATTAATTGATTTTAAGCATACATACACCTTTAAAGGTGAGGTGTTTTGTGAAAATTCTCATTACTATTAAGTCTCCCGTCCTGGGTGGGAGATGCTTATTGCTTGATTCCAGCTCACTCTTTTATTTTAAAATGCTCTTTTTATTTGCGCTCTCCCCTTTGTCCCTCTCCTTTTTCCTCAGTCCTGTGAGGCTGTGGTTCTGTTTCAGCAAATTGCTCGAAGATGCAACTAATTAATATTAGCCTATTAAGGATAGCTATCAGTTTACATAAAAGGAAGTCTACTTTCTCTGTAGAATTATTCTTTTTCAAGATGCGAGAGCAAAGCCAGCATGCAAAAGCAGCAAAGTTTTGGCCGGTGTAAATTAGCATATTTTCAGCAAAATTAATGGAGCTCTCTTGATTTTTCCCAATTGGGTTCCTGGGCATGTTTTCCTTTTCATATAGTAACAGAATTTAGCACTGGGAGGAAGTCTGCACAAGGAACACAAGCCACTGCTAGAGGAACTGCTGCAGAGGGTTTGTGTTCAACACGATGGTGTCTCCTTTTTGAGTTCTTCAGTTCTTGCAGTACTTATCTTCCTCCTTCCCCTCCTTCCCTGCCTGCCCTGACTTGACAGCAATTTGTGCAAGATATTTGCCCCTTTGTTTGATCAAATTCAGAAGTAGGTTCAAGGCATTTGCAGGCTGTTTTCTAGACATTAGCTTCTCATTGATTCACAGGCTGGGTCTTCTGTTCACTAATAATGTAAGAGCTGCCTGTCAAATTGTTGCCGGATTGCTTTATTTTTTTCCGTCTCTTCTTCTATGGGAGAAAATTTTGTTGCATATAAAGCAAGGACAGTGTTCCAGGTCTACAGCCACCATATTTTGGAGAAAGCTAAGCATTTGTTATGTCTTATTAACTATTTAATTGTAACTATAAAGGAATATATATCTATAAAATATAACATAACTCTATTAAAATAGAGTGTCAAAAAATGACAGCTTTTTTGTTATTGTGACTTAAAACTGCATTTTTTTGGAGGGGGTGATTCTGTAGCTAGTTGATTGTTTCTTTCAGAACTGAATGGAAATAATACTGGTTACAAATACTTGTCTTCTGCCATGGTTTCATAACAATCTTCTGAGCTCCCTCAGGTATATATTACTTACGATTAATAACTTCTTAGATATTTGCTCAAGTTATAATAGCTAAGCAATGATGTTTTTGAAGAGTGGAGGGACAGAGACCTGTTGGGCATCTCTCTGGAAGAGAGTATTTGGAGCAGGAGTGGATGTGGGGAGGGCTGCGAGCGCATCTGAGATCCTGCCTTATAAGCGGAGATGAGATGACAAGAGCTTTGCTTGTTTGTAGAGAGAGGGAAGGGAGGGCATGTGGCTGTGCTTTAATGCAGAAAGAGGAGCTCGGAAGGGAATACAGTTACTTAACCTCAAGAACAGCATTGCTACAAGAACAAATGCTTGTAAATGCTCTGTGAGCAACTGTGCTGAAATTTAGCAGAGTGATGTTTGGAACAGACTCTGGGTTGAAGTAGCTTGGGCAGAAAATTTAACTTTGAAATTAGAGCTTGAGGCATTTTTCTGGACTGTAAGAAGCTGTTGCCTTCAGTGGCTCTGTAGTCGCTATTTTCATCTGTACTTCTACATTTAAAATAATCCTATTGCATTCAGTAATGGAGGTAGCTGCCAATTAAGTAGTTAATGTGGTTTGTAAGGCTCCAAAGCCCGTGAAAAGGCTTTCCTTTTCGGTGGACAGACTACTGACGTGCTCAGAGCCAGTGCAGAAAGCGTGCACAGTGCTGCAGAGGAAGTGCTCCCCTGCCCCGCCAGCCCCGTTCCCTGCTGTCCTCACCGATTCTGTAGTAATCGCCGTTACAGAGAGATTATCAAGGTTTATCTTTAAAGATGGTTGAGTGTTTCCTATCTCTTCACACTTCCCAAGTGTTTTTACTGAAAGTGTAGGTGATTGAAAATCTTCTCATTTCCGTCTAGAACCTTTTCATGGACACTTCCGCAGTTTTCTTCTCACTGTTCTTTAGGTTAGATGCTCCCTTCGTTTATTTGCCTCTCCTTTGTTTTTTCCAGCTATTTAAGTGTGATTCCTCTACCCACTCCTGCCCATGATCTTCATTTTTTAGGGCAGTTTTCATCTCCTCTTGTAAAACAGGCTCCTCAATCTCCTTCTCATCCTGGGTGTATCAATTCTAGTTTTAAGTTTGAATCTAAGAGATCAAAGTTTTACAGACAACCCAAATGAAATGTCTTAGTTTTTTTTAATAGAGCAATATATAATGTTCCCTTGTTTCCTGCCTGTCCTGGAAATATTTTGGCAGAAGTGGGAATGCATTTGTCTTTTTTTCTATGTCACATCAAATTGACGTGGACCTGCCAAACGCTACTGCATCCACTTTTTAAATTATAGTGTAAAGGAGCAGGTGCAAATAAATCTAATACTAATTGTAGAAATTGAATAGAGATACTTCTTTGGATTCTGAACATGTAGACTTTTATTCTATTTGTCTCCAAAGCTACTAATTTTAGAGTACTGAGCCTGTAGAATGTGTGCCTTTAGAGTGCAACACTTAACCAGACCGATTATTTCAGAAACATGAAACTGTAGTCACGACACTGTCCCCTCATGCTGTGCTTTGATTTTCTTATTTTTGTTCTCTTTCTATACCTTCCCTCCCAGTGAAATTCCAGGCAAGTGCTGTGATTCTGTTACAACCTATGGCAAACTGTGTCTACTGTCTCTCCTGAAGCCTGGGAAATTACCCTACAGTAAAAACTGGCTGGTGATCAGAATGCAGAAGGCAGCTGCTCTGTATGCTGGTGACCTGCTTCTCCTCACCCTCCTGAATGCTCATCTACCTCTACGAGGTTATTTAATTTGGGGCATTTTTGGTTGTATAGCATGTAGCATGCTCGGCTTTTTGTATATCCAACTGAAGGAGAAAACAGAAATTGAAGATAAGGAAAACACTGCTTAAGTGTTTTCATTCTCTGATTCTGTGATTCTGCAATTAAATCATCCAGTTTGCTTTTCTGTCTGATTGTTCCCTACAGAGCCTTTGCCGGTGCATTGTCAGCTTCAGTTTCGAAAGTTCAAGTTTGCACTCACTCTCTTAGGGGGATATTCCCTGGCCTGATTCTGGCATATCCCAGATACCAGATCCTCGAGTCGCTCCATACCCTCAGTTCTCTCTCTGTAACTAACTTGTCTAGTTACTCCTGTGTGTAAGCCTATGTCCCACCCTGAAGCCTTTCCTTAGTGCGTTAACATGCTTTAAACATTATAGACCACTATGCTATCTCTCTCTCTTGCTTCAGTTTCTTTAGTGAAGGTGGACATTAGTTTTTCTTTTAATCACAGCAGACGTATTTTATAAACATGTTTGCAGTTGCTACTGTATTCATGTATTTTTTTTAATATATTGTGCTATGTCTTTCATCTGTGTACAAATATGAGAGCACAAGAAAGATGTTTCACTGTATGTATATGTACTGAGGATAGGTAATTTCTTAAAAATTAAACTCTAAGAGCCCGTATAGACCCCCTATCAAACTCTAATTTCCTTTATAAGCCCCTTGAAAATGACACTTTTGAACTGATAGATAGTTGCATGTTTTAGAAAGTTTATATAGGAACCTTTCACGTTGCTTCAGTTACTTTACAAGTTCTTTTAGAAGTACATCTTCGCTTGTACTAAAATAGACAGTGCTGAAATAGCTAGGTTTGAAGTCTGTGTAGTTGTAGGCTGTTCTGAAAACTAAGCTTTGACTTTGCTTGTCAAAGCTGCATTTTTAGTGTGTGTTTTTTTTTTTTGTCTTTTTCTGATCCTTCCTAAGACTCTAGACTCAAACTCAAGCATTCCTTAAAAATTGATGTGAAATTATAAAACGGAAAAGCAAGCAATGCTAAATTGCTCCAGGAACCCCCAGTCTGCAGGTGGCCGCCAATGACAAAATGATCTGTTTGAGATGTTTGAATGAATCTTACATGTTAGTGTGATAATGCAAAGAGTGAATCAATCGATCTTCCTTATATTTTTCTGTGAACTCTTCTGTTTTATACATTTATCTTCCTCTTGAACCTTGACTATGGTCAGTTATTTGTCTTTCAAGATAGGGCTGAGAATTTATTTCAGAATATAGAACTGAGAGCTCTTGTGGCAATAAGAGGTAGAGGAGAACTTATGTAGGTGTAAACTTTTGTAACTGCATGAAGCATCTTGGAAGTGAAAGCAGATTTGCACTTTGTGGATGTATGCTGTTTGCAGACCATAAAAACTTGTTAATTTAAACTGAAGCATTTTATTTCTAACTTCTATTAGAGTAGAACAAAGTCATGCACTAGTTTGTCATCTTCCAGAGTCACTTTAATCCCCAGAATGTTGTTCTATTTGTGCTGATTTCAAACCTCTGGTTGCACAGAATAGAAAAATGCTGCTGCTGTCTCTAGTTATATTCTAGAAATACAAAGTGCACACAGAATTTCATGTAATAAATTGCTATGCAAAGATCTCAGTCTACTTGTATTGAACTTTTAAAAAGAAATTTACTAAGGTAACTAAAACTGTGCTCAGATACTTGGACATACAATTTTGTTCAAGTGTATGGATAGTCCTGCTAATTGCAGTGGGACTGTTCAGGTACTTAGAAACATGCAGCATTGGAGCCCTTGTAACTCTATTGCAGTACATAAATTACTAGTTCTCAACAAGATATTAAGAGCAAAATCCAGTATAGGACATAGGAATAATAAACTAGAAATTGGGCTCATCAGTTCAGGTTCCAAAACTTTTTTGATCTTGAGGTACCTAAGCTTGAAGCAAACATCATTAAGGGCTGAAGAGGCATTTTCTACTCGTTCTGTAAAGGCTCTGCTGTGGTGACAAACTTGCAAAAGGAGATTTCGAGTTACCCTCGTCCCTGCATTCTTCTAGACTGCTAAGCTGGTACATAGTTTCTTAGCAACACAGGGCAAAACCTCTTTATATTCTTATAGTAAAATGCAAAACTGACTTAAAGGCTGGAGCCTTCCCAGAAGAGTATTTTAAAACTTATGCTAAGGATACAGGAGATATACTGGTACTTGTAAATGGCTGCTCAAATGCATAAGGGCATCCTATCTGCTAAGAATGGCTCAGAAAAAAACCCTTGTGGAAAAAAAGAAACTTCTACATACAAATTTAAAGCAACTAAGCAGCAACAACAACAACAACAAAAGAACCCTTCAGTGGTTATTTGAATAATCATGCTGGTAGGATAGCACCCAGCTCTTGGTTACCCCATAGGCATGCTGCTGCCTAGGAGGTGGCAATGCTTGCATCTCAGGTGCAGTAATTTCCTGGAGCCTGAAAATGCTCTGGTGGTTGAAGTACTCTGCTGGGAATGGGATGTGTTTCCAGATTGCGCTTTTAAAAAGAAAGTAATGACATTAAAAATATTATTGATATTGGATATAGAGAGCAAAGCCTGTGGCAGTCATGTTTTTCCTTATTCACTCTTTTTTGGTCCTGTTATACCTCTTGTGCTGGGATACTTAACTGGCTTCACTGGTTCTTTGCAAAAATGAGTACCTTTCTACAGGGTAGTACTGCACTTCCCCCCCACTGCTCTTGTATGACCCAGTCAAAGATTCAGTTCTCTCTTATGATATTCTTAGCCTTTTATGCATTGAAAGTGTCCCCACGCTTTATCAATACAATCTTCCTAATTGGTGAAATAGTAAGTGTGACCCATGCTTAAAAAGATCGTCAAACTCCTTTTAGTCTAATAGATCAGCTGTCAGCACTGTTGATGTTCTTCCCTAGGAAGGTTTCTTTTCCACCTTTTAATTGTTACAGTTAATAATTTCTGTTTTCTCTGTTTGAGCTAATAATTCTCTGGCACAGTAACATCTGTTCACAGTATTCAGGAAAACTGTATTTTTTGCATTGTTTTTAAAACCTGTCACTAAAAGGACAACTGGAAATTCTGATTAGGACATACCACTCATATTCTGCCTGGGAGTTGTTAAATTACTTCATGTTCCACTTCTAATTCTGGGCTTGGATTATGTAATTGTGCAGTATGTTTTCATTTAACTATTCCGTTGCTAAAGTGGGAGGATGTAAAATAAAAACTATCAGCATAAAGTAGAAGCCCCAGGGGGTTATGAGGAGAACTTTGATTTACTGTGGAAAATTATGTTGAGATAAAATTTATCCAGCTCTATTTAGGGAAGTGTGGGCTCTGAAGAGAGAGATTTATTCTGCTGTGGGAATTGGATCCAAATCTCCTGTGCCTTTCAGAGTTCAGACAGGATGCCTAGCAATCTGCTTTTGATCTAGCCAAGCTTCTGAAAACGTGCTAGACGCTGTGCCTGAACAGTAGAGCCACTGAAATCAAGGTTTTCAATTAGGAATCGCATTCTCAAATTAGAGAGGACTGAATTAAATAGATGAAGGATAAACTTAAGGAGAAAACTACTAAGAAAGTTCTTCTCGACTTTAAAGAGTCAGAACAGAAGGGATCCTAAGAGCACAGAGAGATCAAGGTCCGTTTCACTTGAGCAAATAACACTGCTGGCTCCTTTCTCTCTCAGCTACTTATAAGTATTCTGCCTGCAGAGTAAACCTGGCAAGCTAGATGAGCTCTCTGTACTGCCTTTCCCAGAAAGACTTTTCCTGAAATAGTTTTCCTCAGGTTGCCATCTGTTGCTAGTTTTAAATCATGATTATATTTGAGGCTGTTAACAGTTTAGTTTCAGTCGATTTCAAAGAAAATAATGAAAATTCTATCTACAATCGGTTAGCGATCACGTAGGGTTGTATCATTTGTCTTGCAGAGTGCAGCACCTTTTGCTCTTCAGTATACTGAAGTGGGTTTTTTTTTTGTCATTTTAAAACTGGCTTTTGTACGTAGACTTGTCAAAAAAGTATTCTGTGTTTTGTGTTGCTTGGGATATTGTAGCTTACTCTCACGTTTCAGGTCCTTGCTTGAGGGGTCTGGTAGCTCCCTTTGCAAGGCAATTAGAAAAGTGCTTTCAGTGTCATGGACTTGGGAACCAGGCAGTCAGTGGTCGATTTGAACATGTAAGAGAGGTTAGCCACTTCCAGCCAGGAGACAGCACAACGCGTTATTCGCAGTTATAATGCCATAAAACCAAAAGGCCTCCCTAAAGCCCCGGCGCCTCCCTGGCTTTTGAGGAGGGATTTGTAGCATGATGAGTTTCCAGATAACCTTGTCTACTTCCTAACTAACATGCCATTTCTCTGTACTTTAGATCCTGTGCCTGCTGTTCTCTCAAATAGCTTGTTGTATTTGTTTCAAAGTGATTGTACTGCGAGACACTGTTCTTGTAACTATAATCTGGTTTTAATAAATTATGCTGGTAGGATTTATTTCTTCCTGTTAGCAGAGTTGCATTTTTCTTTCATTCAGCTATGTGTTACGTTCCACTTTTATCAAGTAGCCCTAAACAATTTTTCCCTTACTGATGGCTATTACAGAAAAATTACACCAGATCAAACTTGACAGCTGCCCAGTGGTGTGTTGCATTTCTGTCAGTGGCCTCAGAGGAGCTGAGCAAAACCTGCCAAAAGTGGGTGTAGGATGATCCCTGTATGAGTTTTTAGTCCAGTCTCTAAATAAGATAGAAATTGGTTTCAGAGCCTAATATCCCTTAAAATTGTTAACAGTTATCTGCGATCACCATAGTTAATAGTTGTTGGTGCTAACTTTTGAGCTTTCCTAGGTCCTTAGCCTTGTGTCTAAATGCAGCTGAAATATTCACAACCCAAAGGTGGAGGGAGCAAGAAAAGATGTATCTTGAAGTGGTTGTCTGGAGCATGAGACAGTTGATTTGTTAGCCTGGCAGTTAACCAGTTAACTGCTGTATTTGTTAGGCCAGGGTTGGGGAAGGAAGGAATTGTTTTGTTTCCTTTTAGCCTGAGGAAAAACTAATTTTTTTTTTTTTTGCGCAGAAACAATTGATGGTTAGATTAGACTAAGAAACAGCAAACAGCTATTTGGAACTATATGAAAACAGTGGGGATAGCTTGTGGAATATATGTGGAATGCATCAAGACCTTTCCACGTATGACTTCCACGCTGGTACTGAAGGAAAGGGAAAGCATGCTATACATCGCTGTTTCCAGTTCCCCTGCCTCTGTCTTTTTTGATGCTCGATCAGCTGATGGCTTTAATTCTCTCTTCCTCAGCCCTCAGGAGTAAAGAGATCTGAGGGGGAACGGTTCAAACTGCTCACTAAGCTGAGGCACAGGACACCATTCTGCTCACTGATGCAATATGTTGAATGACAAAAAGTTACAGTGTTTCCCATCAAAGCTATTTTTCTTCTTAGTTTCACCATGGGAGACTATTACTAAATATCACGTTTAATCTTTTTGTAGGAATCTCAATGGCCGTTCTTATTTGGAATGATTATTGTCCCTTCACTGATTCAAGTTGTGGTTTTGCCTTTTCTTCCTGAAAGTCCTCGTTACCTTCTCCTTGAAAAACAGGACACAAACAAGGCAGAAAAAGGTACTGTGTTACTTAGTTTCTTGCAGCAAAGGATTTGTGTAGTAGGAACACAAACCAGAAAGTAATTTTGACAACACAGTGAAAGCAGAATATTCCTATAGGAAGTTATTTTTCCCTCACCTTTTTTGGTTGTCTGTTTATGTGTAAAAATAATTGGTTTTTTGGAGTTAGTTCTGTTTTGGTTTGGTTTATTATGAAACTCTCCAACTACCTAACATAGCATAATGCACGGTGATACAAATCTACCCAAATCATCCTGCAGTTGTGTTTCAGCCACATTGGGGAGTTCAGGCTTCATTGGGGAGTGCAAGGTAAGTTCAGCCTTCATGGCCATCCCTTACCTAGAGCTTTGGCAGTCTGGCTGAGCAGGACTCCCACTGTGTTGCTGGGTTTTGCCCAGTAGTGGCTGTGTTTAACCATGTGTTCCTGTAACTCAAATGTATTAAGTTTTTGTTAGATCTATCAAGGTTATTATCTAACTGTGAAAGTTCTCAGTACTTCAATATTATTTTCTTGAGCTTTTACAGACACAGACCACAATATTTTGCTCTTATTTTAGGTCCTATGTATAGGGCATGTGCATGTCCTATGTACAAATGTGCTCGAGTGATCACAATGGTTTTGTGCCCTGCCCAGTAAAATTACTACAGTCAGCTATAAAGTCCAATACATGGTTGCAGTATGGTTGAGAGACTGTTGAAAATCTGATTTAGCTTATTATAGGCATACATTAGAAATAGCATACAGAGAAGGAAAGAGTCTGATTATCATGCCAAAATGTTTGCAGAACATGAGTGACCTTTAAAAACTATTCCTAACATTTTCAATCCCTAACTAGTTGCTTGTAAAATTATTTGCAAAATGTGGATCATCCCCTGAAGCGTAACATTAGTAATTTTCATTTATCATTAAATTAATCCAGTTTACTCTATCCTGTTTCTTCTACAATAATACGAAAAAAATAGCATTTTTATAGTGGCCAGCACTCTGAAATAGAAATGGCATACAAATGAAGTCTCCCACGTTGTCTCAGTTTGGTGCTGAATGAAGAATTTTGTAAATATGATAGCCTCAAAGATTTAGTTGATACAGTCTCAGTGTTTAAAGCAATAAAACAAGAAGCCAGAAAAAGCACAAAGGCTTAGGGGAAAGTTCTTCAGCTTTGCAGAGACAGCAGCGATTTGGTGAGGCAGAAAACAGCTTTTTCAGGGACCCCAAAGGAAAGGGCTTGCCTGTCCAGCAGGGAGATAGCAGTGAGTAGCTGGGGGCAGACTGCTGAGCAGTGAATGGCTGCAGCATCACAGCTGGGCTTGGGAGAGATGTCTTTTGGTGCCAAGTTTAAACTGGCTCAGCTCTGCTTGAGCTGATGTTGTATTTCCCGAGCTATGCCTGGCTAAGGGTCTGCATCTGAAATGATACATCATAATCTTTGACTTGTCATAGGGATCTGTTGAAAATATAGTTGCACTACCTGGAAACCTCACTGCTATGACAGTGAAACTGGACCTCCCGGGTAGCTTGAACCTGATCCATCTAATGAATAAAAAGAAAAGGCGGGAGGAAAAAAGAAACAGAAAAAAGCTTTGAGTCTTTCACTGTAGATTAGCCAAAGTTTAAAAAGTAGTGTAAAAATTTGGCATTTAGATAGTGAGTGGCAGTAAAGGCAGGCAGAGTTGTTGCTGGTAATGGTCCAATAGCAGTCGGGTATGTTTTCAGCATATGCATTCTGAGAACCAATTGAAAGCTTGCATCTTGAAGCCCTGGAGGTGGATTTTGAAATAGCAGATGTCATGACAACAAAATTGCCCATGCCTTCTTGCCAGTGATTTAGTAGTTGAAAGAAAACGAGCTGTAGCAACTAGCTTACTGATTTCTTTCTTGAGACAAGTGATAAACGTGAGCTGCCTTAAAGACTGCGCTTCTAAATTTAGGCATTCACTTAAAACAAACAACAAAATAAAATACCACCAAATTTCCAAAGTTAATGCTTATCAGTAGCAGCAGATGAAAATGAAAATTTAATGCTGAAATATGTTGTAGTACTGAGTGAGACTCATTTTGACTGTAATACTCAGAGCTTCTAAAGGAGAAGCAACTGATAAGACTGGGCAGAGGTTTGCAAAAAAAGCCGGGCACGTTAAAGGTCTAAACACTACACTAAATTTCCCTCCTGTTCAAGCCTAGCAGCCGTGTTTCCAGATTTGGCCGCCTCGTTGCATTGGCAAGGTAGCCTGCAGGATATCAGGTGCAAAATAGGTAAGGGTGATTCTTAGACGTCATTTTGGAGTTTATAATCCATAAAATACATCTACAAAGCAATATAGTTGAAACATTCTGTGTAGGCATGTGAGCAATTTTCTTACTGTTACATATCATTATGAGAGGGGGAATTACAAAAGTAAACTTGCAAATGAGAATAACTTTAGGTCGCTGTTCAGCATGGCCATAGGTAGGGAGAGAATTCAGGTGCCTGATGGAGTGACTGGACAGCAAACGGAGAGAGGAGAACTGCACCATTAACCCGACGGTGGGGATTCAGAACCTTCCACCCTCAGGCCACGGCAAACGGAGAAACGCAGGTTTATGCAAGAGCCAGGTCTCAGGTGGCTGGTATTTAATGCTACGGCCAAGTGAGAGGATTCACAAAACAGGAGAGTGGCCAGCTGTGACTCAGCAATCAAAAAAAAAAAATAATCTGGCTGTTAGTTATGTGAGGAGATGCGGGATGTAAAACATGAGTGTTAGGGAGACCAGAGGAATTTGTGGATTATTAGAAAAACTACTGCTCATAAGCCATCAATGACAATGTAGCATTCTCCAGTTTAATGGCGACTGCAGTAATGCTCTTGAATTGTTTGCCTCTGAGGTTAGATCTGCATATTAACGTCAGAAATGTGCAAGTCTTGCGATTAAATCCTCTTTCTTTCCCCAAACAGATCAAGGCTACTCATGCAAATATCATACATTTCACTACGGATTATATCATGCCAGAAAAATATGAAACTGTTATCTCTAAAAGGTCTGCTGTATTTAAGGCAGATGACTACATTAGTTTTTATAAAATACTCTAAAATGTATGTGTATCTCAAAGCTTCTAAAATGGAGGAGGACAAAGTTAATCTTCCTAATTGTTTTAGAGTAATGAAAATCCAATAGGATAATGTAGGTCACTGAGTTTCCACAAAGCTTTGCTCTCATGTTTGTCCCTTCCTCTTTTTCTGTCCCCATGAGTTAATCAGACTATAACTATCGAAGTACAAGTGGTTTCCTCTTTTTTGGCAATGGTGTCAAAGAGCATGATGCCTTTAAGTAGCAAAGGGTCTTAAGGGTCAAATAATTTGGATATAATATCCCAATAGCATCTACTATTAGTGTACAAAATCTGACCATCTTATGTTTCCAGTCATTCATTAAAACTTGCGTCGTTATAAAAGAAGCAATTCATCAGTTGCAGTAAGAAGTGCAGTTTTTTGATTTTTAGAAACGCCCATTACAATTGCTACCATTTGATATGACAGAGGAGTGAGGCCATTGCTGATTTAAACAAACAAACAAAAAAACCCCAAGCCCCCACAAGTAGCTAATTTTAGATAAATCCCTGCATGGGATCCGCAAAGACTGGAGAGAGATTAAAACCAGACTAGCTGCAGGGATAAATTGCTGTAAATCCATTGATTTAAATGGAGTTGTTATTGCAGACACTAAAGGTGGCTTTCTTTCCATTTATCTGTGCTTTTTGTATTTCTGTAAGCATTATAAGCTATGGTTACTGGAATGGAAGAGAAGCCATGGCTACTAAACTTGCCAGCTTATGGTAGAGGCTCCAACTCAGATGGTTGCTGCCTGCCAAAAGCTGGAGTGATGGTATGATCTCTGGCTTTTTTATAAGTTTTTCCTAAATCTCTTCTCCTTCAGAAAGGATGTCTGATTCGCTGGACCTTTGCTCTAACTCAGTTTACCAATTCTTATGTCAATTTAGAGTAGCAAGTGGATATTTATTTTACCAGATATACCTTGGCTATTTTCAAGTGAATCTGAGCAGGCCTGTTTTCTATTGATGGCCTGTGAAATCAGAGATAGGAACAGTTAAAGACATAATCCCAAACTGGATCTGTGTGTTTTTAAAATGACCGAGGGACTGAAACACGGGAAAAGCCTGAACGGCTTGTTCGCCTAACTGCAGCTATTCAATAACAATTATTGAATAAGACCAACACATTTGAGATTTATTCTTAAACTTTTCCATGCTAAGTGTTAGCATATAATTAATATTTTGCTACGTTAAAATGACAGTGTAAATCTCTTCTGGCTACTCAGTAGTCTAATAAGATGAGTGGTATTTGAAAATACTGGGGTTTTTTTGCCAAATATTTTTATTCAGAGATAAATTTATTACAGGAAACTTACTATTTATCAGATTCAAAAGCAGTGAAGCTGAATAGCTTTTTGCGATTGGTGAAGCAAACAGCAAGGCACCCTGTATATCTAGAAACCAGCATTAATAAGCTCTACTGGATCACACCAGTGGTCCATCTAGCCAAGAGGTCTTTCTTTGGCAGTAGCAAAAGAAGATGCTGTTTAGGGAGAGCTTAGATGTAGTTTGTTGTTAAAGACACTAGGTTGAATATACATCATCATCTGTGAATTGAAAGTGAACAGAACCATGAGAAAAAGACAATAATAATATTCATACCTAATTTTTTATTATTTTTTCTTTTTAAAGGTGTAAGTACATTATCCACACTATTGCCTGTGACTGCTTTTCTCTGTTTCTGCCTCATCTTACCTGGGGCTGGCCCTATTCTGTAAACCACACAGTGGCAGTTTTATCCTTTTAGAAGTTTTCTCCAAATTTACATGCTAATTCAGTCTTTATAACAAAATTGCTTTCTTTACACTGCTTGGAAGCACTACAGTGACAAAAGAATTAGTAATTCCACATGTGGTTGGGTTCCTGAGTGCCCTACTTAAGTTAATTTAAAGGCCTGGTTGGTTTTAAGGACAGTACAGATTGATTTCATTCTGAGCTCTGAACTGCTTTGAAATGCTTCACCTTCGCTTAGCCGAGATGAATAAAAACTAATGGTCTAAATGGAAAGGTTTCCTATTTGTTTTCCCCTTGACTGAAACTGTCTACTTCTTTTGCTGTTTATAAAGGCAGTGTACTAGCCTTTGATAGCAGAGTATCTAGGACCTTCTGCTCCAAGAAAATCAAAAGGAAACCTGGGAAAGATCTAAAAGTTGCCAGAACGGGGACTAAATAGATTTATGCGTCAGTAGGATAAAGACATGAAAATAAGACTTCCCTATAGAGAGAGGCAACCGATCACGGAGGGAAGTGAGTCATTGTAGCAGGGACAGCAAGGACTGCTGTGATGCTCAGTGCCAATAATGCAGATGTCAACATCTAAAATGAATAGAATTGAACCTGACAAATTAAAAAGACCTTTTAGTTTTCCCATCTCCTTGCTAACGCAGAATTTATTTCCACATTAATTATGCATAAAGTTGTGATTCTTACTGCATTGGAGAAGCTGTTAACAAAAGAAGCCTAAAAGATGTTTTGAGTAGCAGGAAAATATGTTTCCAACAGACTTAGTGTTGCCTACTCAAAACTGTGCATATAGAGCATAACACTTTCTTAGGATTTCTTGACCTGTTGGCAATTCAAAGTATCTGTGAAAACTTTTCTATTGGCATTTACATCTGAGGTCCTAATACCAGAAAGGGAAATGAAAGTACTTGTACTTGGTAAACTGTTGTATTTGCTGTGTTTTTTTTTTTTTTTTAAACTTCCTGCTTCCCCTAGAAATATAGCAAGCTCCCCTGTGCAGAAAAGACAGATTGCTTTCTTTTTACTTGACTGCACCTGTATTTTTGACTTGTGTGCCCTACAGGAATGCTGAGGATTCTAAGGGCAGGGAAAATAAAGCAAATTGTGCACTGACCTAATTTACACGGATAAACAGATGCTTAAAAATCTATGAGAGTCTTTTAAAAGTAGAGTGCTTTGATATATGTTTAGTTATTCTCATCTTTACAGGAACTTTTCACTGTTAATGCTCTAAAAATACTGATGAAAGTATAAGTGTGAGACAATGGACTGTGACATACTATATGCACATATTCTAATTTTATGTTTCTTATCCTGTCTTTTAAATACATCGCACTTGTTTTAACAAGCATTTAGCATGTAATTTAATAATAAGCGGAGCATGGCAAAGGACAAAACTCAGCAATTTAAATTCTGGATTCCAAGGCCCGAACTTTTAAAACCCATTTCTGATTATATGGCTTATAGTTTCCTAGACAGATCTCTCATGCTTCCAGAGGGATTTTAAAATTCTGATCTATCTGCTAGCAAGAGAGAAACTGAATTTCAGAATAAATTCATATTGTAAATTGACTCTAGCATCCAAAGGTGGTGAGCGTTCACCCCTAAAAATCACCCTCTTTTTAAAGAGAGTCATGTAGGGCCTATTACAATGCAACAGAAGTGCTAACCGTGTCTGCAAATCTTGGCTGAGAACTCGTATTCTCATGGTCAAACTGGAAGCCAGAGAGAAGACGCAGTGTTGTGTGCTCACAAGAGGGAAGGAGGGAGCCGCTGCTATGAGTCCACCCGTTTGATTTATGTGACCTATCCCACGGAACACTGAAATGCCACTACTTGGCCTTTTTATCTACTGGGTGAAGTTAAAATTTAGTAATTTCAAAACTTAAACAGAGCCTGGGCATTTTAATCAAGATTAGTCAGTGCCTCTGACTTGGTTATCATGCAAGTCTTTTCTGTGCTCCAGAAGAGTGTATGCTGTACTGAAAACATGAATATCATGTATTTATAGGCAGTAAAGCTGTGGATAAGCTGAAAATGGACTTATGTTTTAGGAGAACTAAATCAATTAAATCACTTTTAAAATTAAAAATAACTCTTATTTCTTTTAAAAGGAGCATTTTAAAGTCACCTGCTGCATAAAGGATCATTTTTAGAATTAACGTGCTAGCGGATTAAAGAGCCTGGTTGCAGGGGCACATTTAATGTAATTGTTTTTCTGCAATCACTCCAACAAGATGAGTGCTTTAAATATCTCTTAAAAAGCCAACCTGCAGGGTATGTTCACAAGATTATGATGAAAATATTTTCATCTTAACCACATTTATAAAACAAATTTGTAAGGTTGATGGAAAAACACCACCTCTATTAGGATACCTTTGAAGGTGGTGTGTGAGATGGAAAGCTTTATTATTCACAGTGGAAAGCTATCTCAGTAAATCATTGACGTGCAATAATATAATACCTAACGGTATATTTTTTTTTTTGGAGTGTTTTGTTTGTTTGCTAATGTTTGCCAGGTAAAGGAATTCCCATGTCTCCAGTGCTGAGAGGTAGGAAAACTTGAACTGCTCTAATTCTTTAGAATATTGAATATATTGAAGAGGTGAATTTTTGATTTTATGCTTGTAAGAACAGGAGATATTATAAAGAGTAACAACTATCCCTTTCAAATGTCTACCTTCTATTGGTTTATCAAACTTGCATGCATTTTTTGTATGCTACTACTTTTCTATCCCATGTGTCTTCAGCAACAAAGCCTGCTATATGGGTTTGATGGCAAAAGTAGCCGAGTCAAGTGACGTTCAGAACTCTTTGGTATTAACTCTTTTTTCAGTTTACATGGTATTTTAACCTTGCACTGTACCTTAGGCTATTTTGAATGTGAAAGAATGTAAGGAGAGGGGCTGATCTGGCAGGGTGCCAAAGAATTTGTATTCTTATTGCAGTTTCTAAGACCAATTACAGGGATAAGCCAGATCATACCCAGACTGGAATTATATTGTTGATGAAGAGGCAGAAGAATAATTAAGTTATAACCCATGTGTGCTTTCTATTTTCTCAAACAGTCAAATTTCTATAAAACCTTTTATTAATGAACATAGCGCTGGGTGGCTGACCTAAAGTGCATGTCCTATATTTGCAGCATTTCAGACCTTCCTTGGGAAAGATGACGTGTCTCATGAAGTAGAAGAAGTTTTGTCAGAGAACCGAGTCCAAAGAAACACCCAGTTAGTGTCGATACTTCAGCTCCTGAGAACCCGTGCTGTGCGATGGCAAGTCTGCACTGTAGTTGTCACCATGGGCTGCTACCAGCTCTGCGGGCTGAATGCTGTAAGTGCCCTTCTTCAGGCTGTGATATATTCTGGGATAGATGAGGCCATTTTAAAATTTTTCCTTTTTGCCTTCTGCCTAAATAAATTAGCAGGAAAAGGCAAGTTGCAGAACAGTTGACGGAAAAGCATCCCCTCTCACTTGCAGCCAAGGCAGAGTTGGCGGAAGCAGGGAACCATTCCCAGGCTTGCATGCAGAGTTAAGGTGATGTGGCTGGTCAATGCCACTGGGGTCTCTGGGATCACAGGAAAAGGCAGAGATTGAGAACTCTTTCTTCCTTATTTACCTCTCCTTTTGAAGTCCATGACAATTTATGGACCTCAAAAGTGATAGATGGAATGCAAACCCTTCTCTTCTATTTAATGCTCAGACATAATTTCCAGTATTTTGATTTTGGTTAGTTAATATCTGGTCTGGTACACTTTTTGTTCCTTTGCGTCAGGTAAACTCCATCCTTTCAGTAGATATTTTTATTTGGAATAATTCAGTTCTGTGGTTATATCAGTGAACAAATGTTTCTGTAAAGAATTTTAAGAGGTTCCACTGGATGTTTGATTTTTATTGTTTTTGTTGTTTCGTACAATTTGAAGAATATATTGCAATACGCCTTTCTTGGAAAGTGGAGCAAAAGAGGGGAAAAAAAAGTCATAAACCAGTCAACAGAGGGAAGTCGTATTGTTGAAGTGGCTGAGGCTAATACATATCAAAGTCTCATTTTCAGCTATCTTATCCTATTGCATCGGTTAGTAGAGGACCATAGGATGCTTTAAGCTGGAAGGGATCTTCAGAGGTTGCCTGGTCCCACCACCCTGCTCAAAGCAGAACGATCTTCAGAGTTAGCTCAGGCCACTGCAGGCTTTATCCAGTTGAGCTGTGAATATCTCTGAGGATACAGAGTCCACAATGTCTCTGGGCAACTTATTCCAGGTATTTTCACCACTTGCGCTATAGAAAGTATTTTCTTTATGTCTAGGCAGAATTTCCCTTTGCAGCTTGTGACATCAGGTTTCAATACTTAAAGCTCCATGACATAAGTGTTCTCATGAAGTGTCTCAAAGTGAAAGTGGTTTTGATCATGGTCTATAGGCATTAATTGCTTATATATATGAGAGGACAGTATTATTACTGCTGAAAGAAGCTTGGGAAATGCAGCTTCTCACAGTGGCTTTGTGCATTACAGCACACTTGAACCAGTTTTTTCCCACAGTGCTAATCAGTGGTAATGAGTGTAAGCGTTCCTGATAGCTAAGCTAACTACTTCAGAGTTAGCTCTGGTATCTGTAAATATAGCTTTAGAACTCCTAATACAAAGTAATTGGTCCTAGACTATATGAAAGGTTAACACAATTACAACTCTGGTATCGAAAAGTTTTTAACAAAAACACTGGGAGGAAGCTAAAAGAATTTTTATACTGTATAGTGAACTATATAAACACTTGTATAGGTGATATTTTCTCCTGATTGAGGATTTCAGTGCTAATAACAGGCTATATGTTCCTCACTGTGGATACTTTTTCAAGAAAAGAAATGGATTTATCTCATCGACCAGTCTTTCTGACGATTTATCAACGCGTATGTGAAACAAAATGACACTAATAGTAAGAAACAGACTGTTCAAATTACGAAGTACATTCTCTAAAGAAAAAAGGAACAGCTCAGGTACATTTTCAGGGGTAAAGAAGAGTTTTGTGGCTTTCAGCATATTTAATAAATGACAGAGATTGACCAGTATTCCATGGCAGAGCAAAAACGCTTGCACAACTTGAGAGTGTGCGTAGGTGGGGGAAGTTAGACATATCCAGTCTAAAATGAGTGCAAGAGTTGTTTTAGAGAATCATTAGGTGATTCCTTCCCTGAAAATACATCTCATAAAAAAAATACTCTTGTCAGGATTCCTATGCCTTACAGCTGGCTATTTCAAGCCTTACCTTATTAATATTATTATTATCACTGCTACTACTAATTGGTTTTTCCTCCCATGTAATAACACCAAACATGAAAATTGTTATTCACACAAAATAAGTATTCTGGAATGGATGATTTAAGTAGTTCAACCAGGAAAAATAAACAAATGATAACAGAGATTAAGCTAAATATTTGGACCAATAACTTGAGAGATCAGGTTTCAGTTGTCTCTTCGCTATGACTTTCCTCGTTGATCTTGATGAAGTCAGCTGGAGCTTAGAAATTACCGAGGCCAATACAGATACCATAGATACCACTGAACCGAGTTCTTGGTTGACTGGCGGCACCTGAACTTACCTGCTGGGTGTGAGTCAGTGTCAGCTTGGTTTAACTGGCTGCAAACTTCTAACTCATAATTCTTATTTATTTTGTCTGTGGTACCCTATTAATCAGTCTAGTCTTTTCAACTGCTGCCGTCTGGGCTAGGCATATGGGAAAGTTGGACTGCTTTCAGGCAAGGGTCTCAGATCGCTTCTGGGGGAAACTACCAAACGGCAGACTTTTGTAATCAACCTGCTGGTATCTGAGAATACTTATTTCCTTTTAAGGCTTTATCATAAAAATTGTTTTGTTTCAGAAGAACACATTTGTTGATTTCTACATGGAACAGAAATCATGATGAAGCACTGATCATACTAATATAGTCAATTGTAATGAAATACCAGACAGTCTGATCTAAACTGACATAAATAAATGAATGCATATCAGTCTAACAATTTCTGTGGTGCATATTACCCATTATAAACGTATTTATCTTCCACCACTATTCCTATTTACCTTCTCAGTTCTAGAGAAAGCACAGAACTAAGTTCTCATTGGTGAACTTTGTTGTCCATATGAAGAAATGTACTGCACTGCATATTGCTTTAACACAATACTTTCCAGAGGGGGATCCCTTGATTTCTGTGGGGTCTTTGCTTAAGCCAGAGGGCTATATTTCAAATGGCAGGTAATCATCCTAGGGACGGGGGAAGCATGGAGCAGTAGGATATGAAAGTCCTACCGTAGTGTGCTCTTCAAACTTACTTGAAAGAAGACTTGACCTCAGGTTGCGTGGGAAGCGAAGAGGGCAGAAGGGGCAGCAGTATGGATCTATGTTGCTTGTCTTTTTTTTTTTTCCTTTCCCCATTGAAGGGAAAATAGTTGAAAATTTTGGGAAAGAATGCATTTAGGAGCTGAATGACAAATAAAAAGACTGGAAAATTAAGTCAATACTAGAGTTGTCCCTGGTGTGAAAAAACTTAGGAACACCACTGATAGCATATAACAAATGCCAGCTTAAGGTAAGAGCTTATAGAAGTAAAGGCTTATGATAAGAAAACCTTGATGTCGCTAACTATAAGCTAAGGACAAGATTGCTAAAACGTTGTCTCCAAACTCACAGAGTTAAGACTGCCGTAGGGGTTGTATCAAACTGATACAGCTAGTGCTTTTGGCAACTGCTTATATGGCCAAAATGGTGATTCAAGTCTTGCTTCACGCTGTGGAGCAACAGAAACCGACCACGGAAGAAAGAAAACTCATGTCCTGGTGATGCTCTGGACAACACAACGCTTGTTTCTGGGTTTTTATACTTTCTGTCCCACTTTCTGCCCCATTTTCCCTAGCTCTTTCATTTCAAGATTTGGTAGCCCAAAACATGAGCTAACAAAGGCCATGTTAGAAAAACTACTTAAATGAAAGCGGAGCAGTCATCATTAACCTAGTGAGTAGTGTTTGTCTCAGTAATATCCTAGAGCAATGTGTTTCCCTGGCAAAGGATACACAGGCTGAAAAACATTTACCTTTATTGCTTTTAAAACATGTACCTACATGTTAATTTTTACCCTAATTTACTTTTGTGCTGTTACAGAGGTTAATAACTCACTGAACCTCATCCTGCCTTTGCAATGCCATTTTTTAATCTAGGTGTGTTACTACTGCTCGTATACCACTGGTCACTCATTCTCTTCTGCGAAATCACCTGTGAAACTTTTTATGACCTAGTTGCTATGTTTTGGCAAATGTATTCAGGAGTTAGTATACTTAGGTGACCTTTCAGCTTCTTTATTTTTGTTCTATTTCAAGATCAGTATGGCTACAATATCACCCTTGGTTTGCAGAAGCTCTACCTGCTATGCAAAACTGATATCAAGAGTGAAATGTCTAAATCATGTCGTTTCTAAATTCCATTACATTAATTTGTCTAATCTTGCTGAAAATTTATAGTACAGGAAAAAATGACTTCTCTTTTGCATGGTTTTGTGGAACCTTTTTCCTCATAATTACTGGGGGTGGAGGAGATTGGTGACTAGGATGACAGAGTATTGGGTCCCAAAAATTTGATTAGTGATCTTAAATATTTCACAGGGAATTGGGAGCTCACTCTTGATTTTTACTTCAGTTTGTGCTCTGTACCGGGACACCAATGAAATACACAATTAACACCACTACACATTACACAAATGCAGGTTGTTTCAGAGAAATTTACTGTTATCACTGACTGTCTGTGCATCTCTTCTGGTGAGGGCTGATGTGCAAGCAGTAGCCATAAAATTCTTAAGTCACCTTCTCCCTAGCTGTAAAGTGATAAAGGTAACTTTATCCTTGGTATTTTATGTTACTTTTGTTTTATGCAAGATGAATTGGACTTTTTTACTTTGGTCTGGGGCAAACAGCTTTTTACATTTTTTAAAAAAGCTCCCGAGTTAGTAGCTTGATGAACAGATGAAGCATGTGCCTAATACGGTGGCAGACAGCAGGGTTTTCGTCTTGCAGTCAAAACACTGCCGTTCATCAGACAAGCCTTTTCTTTAGCAGTGCTTGTCCTTTTAAGCATACAGAAAAAATATCAGTGCTTCCTTTATGTTTGGGGCCATGTGTTATCTCTGACTTTCGTTTTTGTTGTCAATATAATCAGTTGTGTTTTGGAACTTTTTTTTCCCCGTGATAATCGGTTATTTCAATTGTTTTGCACCTTCTCAGTAAAATCAATTATCTTCTTCTCTCTCCAAGTCTACCTCTCCGTGTTGCATGCTTTTGGCAGCTGAAATCTTTGGCTAGTTCTTTACAGTAACCCTGAGTCCAGCATAGGGCTGGGACTAAAATCATAGTTAATGATTCTATTTGTGATGTGAGTGGGGTTTGATACTTGTCAGACATGCTGTTTTAAAGTACTACCGCTATATGTTCCCTATCTGGGATGTCACCACTGGGTTTAGTTTTAATGACCAAACATGAGCGTCTTCCTCTGAGCTGGTTGCCTTACATTCCCTGTCTCTATCCAGCGACGGCAGGTCCTCCCAGCCTGTGATTCAGTGCAGCCTAAAGCACTTGTTTCCTTTCCATTAAAACACTCTCTCTCTAAAAGTATCTTTTCTCTCTATTGAAAATAGAGAGATATTAGGTTGATAACTTGGATGTAGATGTCCACGTTGCAGTCATGTGAGAGAAATCTCACACCTTATGACTAAATAGATACTGTTTCTGCAATGCCTCTGTGTATCTCTTTTCTGTTGTTTTATCTATTCTTACTTGTCAGTGAAATACTCCATGAGGGAACCCAAACACGCACGTAATCAGTAAAAATGCGTGGTGTGGGTCAGCCACATGAAAACTCTTTGTATCGTGTTATTCAAACCCAAAGTGAGTTTCTTCAATTTACTTCCAAAGTGAATTAAGCTAAATTGAGTTATAGCTGCTTATAATTCTGAGCGAGTCTCCAAACAGGGGTATAACTTAGTGTTGTGACTAATCCTCCTGAAATTTGCACCTTCCGTTCATTTGTCGTCTTGCCCTCGGTCATTCAGGAGTGCTCGGTATTTTAACAAGTCTGATCTTTGGCAGATCAGATACTTAAACCGAATGCTGGTGTTTTGTAATTTAAACCCTAATGATTAATAAAGCATTTACTTCTTACTGCTACAGATCTGGTACTACACAAACAGCATCTTCAGTGAAGCAGGGATCAACCGTGATACCATCCCGTATGTTACTCTAAGTACTGGCGCTGTGGAGACTGTGGCTTCTGTTTTTTCAGTAAGTATGATTGTAAAAGTCCATTAAAGTGCTTAATATTCAAATTACTAATTTTATTTCCTTACACAGATTGAAATATAATCAAAACAGTATATTGAGGATTAAGTGTAATGGTTTATAATGCAATTGAAAATATTATTGTTGGGTTTAATCTTAGACCCAGTTTTGCGGCCTGTAAAATTGCTTTTGTTTTGTTTTTTTGTATGATAAAGCTCTCTAGTTTCAGTTGCACAGAGCGCATATCAAAGGTTGGTATATCCTGAAACTGTTTGTATGAATGAAGAGGAGGAAGGCTGGAACAGGAAGGCCCAGAGCAGAACAAATGACAATTCCTAAATTACTTTACCTGATAGAGTGGCTATTATAGCAGTTTAGCCTCATGTCAGCATCGTCTTGCGTGCCTATGGGAAAGCAGGCAGCGTTGCTGGCTCATTCCCCAATGGTGAGCAGAGGTCACTTCATAATATGTGAGCTCCTGCATAGGTGAGCTCTATGCTCTGGAGGTAGAGCAAATTGTCAATACAAAAAACTACCCATGTACGTTTTTTTTCTTTCCAATTTCAATGTGGAAAAGTTGATTAGAAAAAGGTATATATTTCTGAAACTTCCAGTTTTAATTTATTCAAGAAGACAAATACATTATTTGCTGCTAAAATAAACACATTTATGTTTGCACTATCGTAAACAAGAATTAATGAAGACATTTTTTTGAATGAAAGGTTGTGAATGAATACTTTTTTCTTTGTTAGAATTTTTTTCTCCTCTTCCTATATTCTATACCAACTGTGTTTGCAAAATACCGGACACACCAGACAAGCTTTTTTAAATGTCAGAAGAATGGTTTTGGCAAAAATCCTTTCCAGTGGCAGAGCAGCTGCTTATGACCTATGAAATGTTAAACTAAATCTAGCTATCAAGTTTATTTTCTTATAGTCTAGGACGTAAGGAAGCTTAAAGGTCACAAAGATGGTCTTCTGATCTTTGTAAATTTCCACATAGCTATTTTGGGATAAACCATCAACTTTTTTTTTTCCAATAAAAGGGACTTTTTAAATATATCAAATTAGTGTGAAGTACGGAAATCCCAACCTCTTACAATTTCTTCTTTATGATACTCCAGAAATGCTTCTTTGTTTAAGATGTATGTAAAAATAATAATGATAATTCTACTGGTAATTTAAGTGAAGAATGCACCTCTTTTTTTGTGGAAACAGATAAAATTACATGGAGAAGAGTCCATGGCATTAAAGCCATTCTATAAATAGTCTGTCATCTTTTCAGTTCCTTCTGTGCTATCAGTTTGTGAGACTTATTCAGAGAGCATTGTTCGTGCCTAATGAGGTGAATGTGTCTACTTTGGTTCCTGGTGTGTGTGGTAACTTTTTTATGCCTGCGAGGAGTATTTTTAGTATTTTCTATATTCAATCTACTTACTGTGCCTCTGGAAATACTAATGCATTGAAATTTCTGCCCCTTCAAATTTGCTCTCTCTGTCTCTTTGTTTCTCTGAAATGCTACTTTGTAGCCTTAATTTTATTTCAGTGATTTTCAAAAATGTTTCTTTGCTGCTGTTCAAAGGAAGACCACACAGTATTCCTACTGAAAACTTTGCACCTTCTTATTTCTACAAGTAACTTCCTCTGATTCTTTTTTTTATTTATGCCTAGAACCACTCGTAGTAGATTTCCTCCCACTTCCAAGCTCTCAGCTGCTTTTTCCTTTCCTTTTTTTTTTTAAATGTATTTGACAGAATTAAATGTTGAGTCAGATGCATGTGTCTTATATAGTACTCGGAGGGAAGACAGAAAGACACAGGACGAAGCAAGGGGGCAGCATCGTTTTCCTGATAGCATGCTTGCTAGCAGAAACCAGGCCTTTACTCACAATAAATTCCAGGTTCTTAGTAAATACTCGTATTGACAGTAGAAGTAGATATTTTTTTTTTCTTACACAAGGAATAGCTTTTGGAGAGGTCTGCAATGCACTCATGTATCAGCTCATATCATCATAAATATATTAGGTGGTCATGTGCACATATTCTGAATCTCAGTGAGAATAGCTGGGGTTCATCTGTTGATGAGCCCAACGTAAAGGCTAACAGAAAAGATGGAAATATATTTATTTCATAGAGAATCTGAATAATGTTTAGGAGCTAAAATATCATGCAAACTGTGAAAAACTTTGAAAGTCTCCCTTTAACGTGTCTCCTAGGAGCAAAACCTTATGAAAACAGCAGTAATAATAATATTGATGCAGTCTTTGGGGAAGGGCAAATAATATATCATCCTTTTTATAGCTCTGTATTACCTCATTTCACTTGATACGCCTGCTAGGAGCATGCTTTGCATACAGCTCCATCACTCTTCACCTAGAGCAAAAATCCCAAAGGCCACATAAACAAGACATTGAAAAATGAACCACATACATCACCATTTTCGTTTCTTTCATATCATTTGATTGCATCTCCTGCTTATACCATCACTTCCTAGTGCACTCTGTGAAATACCTGAGCATTGTGTGCTCAGTTCCCTCGTTTCTCTGAAAAGGGGAGATATCAGGTCAGTACATAAGGAAGTCGTACAGGCCACCGGATGTGATGTCAGCTGTATCTAATATATGTCATATGCTATTGTGAGTCATCAGCAGACTGGTGAGCTGGTACAACATTAATGAGAACGCCACTGCAAAGGCACTTTATTCTATGCATGCACTATAATTACCATCCTAGACCGTTTCTGCTAACTGAAGATCATGAGATATTTTTGATAAAAGGCTTGAAATGACGTCTGCAGACGTATAAAATCTCTTTTTTCATGCTCTTCCTGTATAAGCTTTCCTCATGTTTCTTGATTATGTGTAGAATTCTCCAGCCAAAGTACTGAACATGGATCCAGTTCAGAGGACTAGTTAGATAAGCTACACTTTGATGAGGGATCCCCTTAATTTCAATTTGCTTCTGAGGAAACGTGGAAGCCTTTGCACTGAAATATTAGTTAGATTTCAAACTCTCAGATGAGTTACAGTGGGACATTACCTAGCCTGACCCTGTGCTTTGAAGCAGGATGCAGTATAACTACAATGTTCTCTGGCAAATGTCTATTAGAAGTCTATTCTTCAAATTCTCTGTGAAGGGGGGTTCCACAAACTTAATTAACTTTGAGATTATTTTTGTGGCTTTTTTATAATTTTCAGAGTAATTTAATTTTTTTCTTGTCTTAATGGATAAAAAAGACCAGTTGGGCAATGGCTATCTTTGACAAGATAACAGATTGAATGGATAAGGAGACAGGAGTAAGCAGATGAGAAGATTTTCCCTCCAATGATACCACTGTGGATGAAAGAGAATAAAAGGGAGTATTATTCAAATGAGGCATTCCACTTCCAATTTTGCCATCTGTGGTGTCACACTTGGTCTTTAAATAATGTTCACAGAAAGAGACTAGCTATGACTATATTGAGAAGATTATATCTGAAGAATTTCCTGTGATGGCATATATAAGGTTTTACCAATGTTTCTTCCAAAGCCTGTGACAGAGACAAGCCACATGAAGCTTGACATCAGTTAAGATATAATTAAGTAGTAAAAGAATGAGGAAAAATATAAGAAGTCCTCCAGTCTTTGCAGTACCACACAAAAGTAAAGGAAGATAGCTTTCTTAAGCAGGAATTATGTGGGATGATGTTATCCTAGCTTGGGATGGCATGAGAAAGGGGTCTTAGACTTCTTTTTTCTGTGTTTCTTTTTAATGTTAATAGGCCTTAACATACAAGAAGGGATTCTTTCCTCAGAGCATGGCACATCTTAAAACAAGAGTACTCCAGACACTTCAGTAAGTGTCCTCATCTCTAATATGTTTCCTCAATGGTATCCAAAGGGTAGTGTATCTCCACTGAAACTGTGCGTCTCCGCTACGGTCAGTGCAGGAAGAAATATGTTCCGATGACAGACAGTCTGTGGCAAGTGAAAAGTTGGGGTGACAAATACCTGAACCTCAAGGCTTCCTGGAAGTTTTACTATAATCTGATTTTTAGGAAGACTTTCAATATAACCCCTGTAACATTGTTCACACTAGGTCTGAATCAATATCCATCTACCTTATATATAGGGGTAATAGGGAAAGGCATAGAGGAGAATGCAACACAGGGCAAACATGGCATTTTCTGCATTTCTTTCTCTGAGCTCCCCTGACCCTGAAAAGTATGACTTGAGGGCTTCCAGAATTAGGAGGTAATATGTTGCTCTTTAATAGCCTTGATGGATTTTTTTTTTTTCCTTGAATTTCTAGTTGCTTTTAAACTCGTATATGTTTTTAGAAGCTGCAACATCCTAAAGTAGTGAATTTCACAGTTTCATGCATATTGCATGAAAAAGTTCCTCATTTTGGGAACAGAGAATATGAGATACAGTGAAATGTCAGTTAAATGAAATTATAACAATATGGATGCTCAGCTAACTGAAAAACTATTCTCAGAAAGTAGCTATCAACACTTACCTGTTATATGAAGAAACACCCAGTGGGATTATGTGGCAGGTTGCACTGGGTCTATTAATGCTCAAAATATTCATTAACAATATGGTTGAGGGAATAATGAGTCTTTTCTAATTTCCTTTCATCCAAACTCACCAAAGCGAGAAATTCAAAAGTTTTTGTGAGAACTAGGGAAGATTTTAACAAACAGGATGTTTGGTCTGAAATCAGTAAGAAAATTCAACAATGAAGGCACCAAGTACTTCACTTTTGGAAGGAAAAAAATCATATGCACAAATACAAAATGTCATGCAGAACTGTGTCAAAAGGCTTACTGAAGTCAAAATCTATCATGTTTTTCATTTTCTTTCCATCTATTCAGCTTCCACCCTGTCAGTGAAGGAAGTCAGACTGCTTTGACATGATCTGCCCTGAACAAATCTGTTTTGACTGTTTCTTATCACCTTATCATCCTTTAGTTGCTGTCAGGCTATTTGTTTTTTTTTTTTAATAATTTGTCCTAATATTTTGTTGGGGGAGATAAAAGTTAGGCTACATCTTCCTTCTCTCTGTTAGAGATAGATGCTCTGTTTGCCCAGGTCCAGGACCATCAGACCTTGCCTTTATCTCACAAGATTTCTGGGATTTTCATTAGTCATGACTATCAAAGCTTCTTTTTTAACAACAAATTATGAGCTGAAAAAATATTTTTTTGATCAATATGTTACCCCCCCCCAAGATATAATGATGACATCAAAAATGCTTCATATTTATTTTATTTTTGTGAAGCATTTAGGAAAATTACTAGGGTTTTAAAAGTCTTTTCCCTCCCTTAATATATGGCATTGAAAACTGTTAATTTTATTCAAGAGCAATATTTATACAGTTCACAGCCTATACTTTTAGGAAATCATAAATAGTTGCCTACATGAGCAAACAGTTGGCTTCCAAAATTGCCTACCATGCTAATTTGTTTTGCCTATATAAAACTTCAACAGCATGAATTCTCAGATGATTTACACACCCTTTATCTAGTCCGAAGAAAGCACTAAGTATGTCTAATAAGTGAAAGCCAAAAAAAATACTCAGTGATTCATTTAAAATCTAAAATATTGAATTCTTTTGAATGCAGGGAGTCACTAATTACTCTCTACTTGCAAATTCATTCTCATTTCGCAGCTGCAAATGTAAATGTTTGTTATTTTTATGGAGCAAATTTGTGACTGGAAAAATACTCAGATTTATGTCACTCTACTGGAAGATATAAAATCTGAAAGAATCAGTAATAGAAAGCAGCAGAAAACTGACAAAGAAACTTCTCAGACCATGATATTTGTCAGCGCCCGGAGTGCATGCGGGCACTTTTTCACTGCATGATAAATCTGGCCCCATTATAGGGACTGAACTTTGACTGTGCTAGTGCATAGTACCGTTATTCACAAGTAGTCGGTGTGATCGTTATCAGACTAAGACATTATGCCTTCTGAACTGTTGTATTACAGTTAGGCTTTGGGATAGACAAAGATTGTATGTGTTGAAGTAATGATGCAATGCTTCCCAGAAAAAAGTCATCTTATGGAGATCTACCTCACAAGACCGCTTGTTAGACCCAAGGGATAGCGGGTTATAGGCTGCTCTGGTCTAGTATGGATATTTCTGCAGGATACACTCACAAAACTGGACGTTGTAAAGACATACCTCCTGCATTTGAGTGTGAAAAAAATAATCTTTTTTGTTAAATGTGTTTTTGTTCAACTTCTTCACAAACACCCTCCTAAAGGCGTTAAAAGTACCATCATTACAAAATCAAGTGCTAGTCATGGAAATCCATCATAGATAAGATCAAGATCTAGTCTGTCTTTATAAACATGAACCCGATTCGAGGCAAAACTTAGTGTTTCTAACAAATAAATTGCCAACAGAATGAACTTTGCTTCAAAAATATCTACAACTTATTGGAGGGAGAGAATGAGAATAAAATAATGTTGTTTTCCTCTTCTGAAGTATTTTGCATCTGCAGTTCTTGTGGAAATGAAAAGCATTAATTTCTATTTTCTGAGGCTGAGACACAGGTAAAGGGAGTGACTGGCCTGCTGTCATACGGTCAGTCTGTGCAAGAACAAGAAATACAACTTTATGTCTGTAGTTTCGTTCCAGTTCCACGTTCACTGGCCTACAGTCCGTTCGTTACAGCAAAGAGCCCCTTCGTGCAAGGTCAAAACCCAAAGCAAACAGTTGCATTGCACCTAAATACAGGTTAGCTGAATAAATGCCTCCTGCAACCTCCTCTCATTCTAGGAGGCCTGTTGTAGTCCTTGTGGATAGTACAAAACTGGCAGCTCCCAGCAATAAGTGTCAGACTGCATCTTAAAAGGTGTTTATGTCTTGGGCTTCTTGTGCGCAAGTGGCAGGTTAGAGCAAATCACTCCGTGGGGCTCGCTAACCTGCAAGGTGTTGAGTTAGGGCACTCTTGTGAATGGGAAATTTCACTGCCACTTGAAGTTGTTTAAGGATGCTTTGCTGCAAGATAGTTCAGACTGAACCTAGAAATCAATTCCACCCGTTGCTGATAATAGTCTCTAGACTGCTAACTACAGAAGATGTGCAATGCCTAATCCTGTCATGTCACTAGCAGAGATCCTTGCAGACTGCTAAAGAGGAGCCAGGAAAGCCACAGATTTTTTAAGGCTTGTGCCTACATGGCCAGACTTGGTGTTGGGCCTCTAAATTCAAATTCAGTGGCTTAAATAAAGTACCTATTTGTTTGTTTTGCAACTTTACAGTACCTACAGTGCATACAAGGTTTATGCATGAAAATATAAATCAAAAACCCATTTGTAACCCTCAATATTCTGTCGCTCTCCTCTTCCTGGATGTGATATGCCAGACATTGTGTCATGAATAGACATGACAGTGATATAAATGTGATTACCCATTCTAATCCTACTATTTAAAATGGAAATAAGACAGAGTTGGTTTGTCACATTAAGTCTGAATCTAGACATACATTCTTATTCAGGTCCGCATCCAAAATGCATGAGGAAAAAAAGGCAGTATAGCAACATTTAATGTTAACATATAGATCAAACTTATTTACAGAGTTAAGATATCAAGAAAATGCAATGAAGTTTTCTTAATATACTTTGGGGACAGGAAATAAGTAAGAAATAATATTTGGTGACTTCCAGTTTGGACTATAGAACTTGCTCGTGTATTCATTTTTTGCACAGACGTATGTCCGGTCTCTTTTAATGCACTCTGCTTTCATTATGTTAGCCTCAGTATCCGCAGCTGACTCGTGAAAAGATTGACATTTGCTTTTTTAACTTTATTCGCAAATGTTTCCTACCAGACAAACAAAAGTAATGTGAAATGTTACACTCAGTTTGCATATCAGTTGCCCTATTACCAGCGAACATGTGCATTGAGGAAATTTTGGGTGCAATATTTTTTTTGCACATTTTCAATAATTTCAGCTGTTTATTACTACAGCTCTGGATATAGGTTTCCATAAATGCACGTTTATGATCACACACAAACAAGTATCAGCCTACGCAATTTGGCAGATAATTTAATGTATTATCTCAGAAAACAATCACAAGATTCTTTATCGTTATAGTTGAACATTTCACAAGATTCTTTATCGTTATAGTTGATTCGTTATCGTTATAGTCCTTGTTATTCCATTTACTTGTTATTCCATTACTTTACCATATTTTTACTTCTTATTAGGGTCTTCAGTAACCATTACCAGTGCATATCAGTGGAGCATGCAGAATAACTACATGGCAAACCATTGTGTGACTTTAGTTTTAAGATGTTATTTGAAATGGTACATTTTAGACTTCGTGTAATTTTTTTATCCTTCTCATCAGAACGCCAATAGCAATTAATAAGTGCAGTACCTACCTGTGAGAATGATGCATTACAAGATGTTCTGGTCTAAATGTATATTGCCCGTCTATTTTAGTGTGTCAGACTAGCAAAGAAAAGTCAGTTTCAAGAAGCTCTTCCTTGTGTTCTTCTCCAGCATATTCAGATTTTGGTTTTTTTTTTTTAAACTCCGTTGATTTAGCTTCACATGTTAAATATAAATTTGAAATATGCATGGATGCACACATATCACATGTTACAATCTGTTTTCTGAGTCACGATTTCTGATACATGGATTTCTTTTGTCTGGCTATTCAAATTAAATTATTCTAGGTCATAACTAAGTGGTTACCTGTATTCAGAGAAAAAAGGAATAGAAAATAAATTTTATACTAGTAAAAAAAATTACTTAACCTATACGTAATAAAAACATATCGTTCTTTGTCCTTTTAAGCTTAAATTTAGAGAGAGGTTGAAATTAAACAATAGCTGATACGAAAAAGCAAGAGACAAACTATTACATTTCTGGATTTCAAAATTGCTTATTTTGACAACATTACTGTAAGAATTTGGTGCAAATGTGTAAGAAGTTCCAATCAACCTGGTATTTTTTCCCATAAACTGTAAATAAAAATCAAACTTCACCTCGTTCTCATCTTTATATTAATTACTTTTCACAGATACAGTATATCCTTGTGGAATGTATTACTAGATTGCTATGCAATAAGTCAAACGTAGCAGCAATTTTAAGATCCACCGCACTAGTGGCAGTAAAGTTGAAGTTACAAAGTTGCACGTTTTTACTTATCCGTGTGGTCATATTCGTTCTGTAGGAAGAAATATAGGCATTAAACTATTATCAATTAATGTTTTTCATGGTTTTAAGTTTTTGTAGTGGTTTTAAATAAGAATGCAATGCTAACCTGGTTTTACAAAGAGGTAAAACTCTGTAAACTGATAGCAATCATGAACACATCATAACTGAAATAATACAATTAATTCAGTTGGTTTTATTTTTGGTCTTTGCAAGAAGAACATATGACATTGTTTGAGTTCTTCAATGTTTTACTGAGAAATTTAAATGCCACTTTTGGTTTTCAGGGCTTAGTTATCGAACGACTTGGGCGTAGGCCTCTTCTTATCGGAGGTTTTGGGTTGATGGTCGTCTTCTTTGCAGTACTGACAGTGTCTCTGACTCTACAGGTAACCGTACAGTCACTACACACATTTGCTCTCTCTTTTGTCTATTTTAATCACTAAGAACTAGATCCCCTCCTGCCTCTGCCTCCGCATTCCTACAGTTTGCTTTAAGAATTCAAAGGTCCGTGTTTTGTTTAGTATAAATCTGTTGGTTCAAAATGTGCTGGTTAGCCATAGGGGCTCTTGCATTTCAGAGCCATGGGGGCTTTGTTGCATTCAGCTCTCATTAACTGAAAGATTCCTGCATTTGGGGACGAAACTATTATGAAGATAATTTTATCTGTAGTTCAGAAATGTTATATTCTACTTTTTTTACCTTTGCTTGTTAAGCAGTCGTCTTTCCTTCTTTATATGTAATCCTATTCTTAGGCTTGGATGGTTTTTTTCCAGTAGGGAAAACTTTCCACTTTTACTATTTCTTTCAGAATTTTTTTTGATATTTTTGCTGGAAATACCGAAAAACTTGTCCCCTGCAGAACATCTCTGCTTAAGTTTTCAGATGTTATTAGCAATCAGTTCCCCAAGTGACTAGTTTAGACGGTCAGAGGAAGATTAAACTAATCCAAATACTGAGTCTAAGTCAACCTAATCTTGTTTAGCTCTCATTTGTATAATCATGTGCAGTTTTCTTCTGTCCCTGACGGCTTTTGAGAAGTAAAACTGACAGTCTGGATCAGCCTGTTTTTGGGTGGTCTTTCAGCAAATTTTATTCTGCTGCTGTTGATTTCCGTGTCTTGGCTAACATAGCTATAACGTGTCTTGCCGTTATATCTGACTTTCAAATCTTGCTTGTTGGTTGAAGAAAGTTAGTTTGATTAGCAAGTGTATGCAACAGCATTGCAAAGTTTTATTTACTTACCTGTATGTATAGCACAATAAAGCTTTACTTCACATACTTGTCGTGACAACAGTAAGATAACTCTCTAGAAAACAGATGTTATTGCAAGTTTTGTATGCTGAGTAAACAAATTCTCTTCCAAACCTTTTAAAATAAAAGTTTGATGCATAAGGACCTTCAGCTATTGTAAATAGCTGAAGTTTCAATGCCCTTCAGTTTTACTTCTTTTCTGAAGTGTGTCAATCTATTTAGTATTAGAGATTAGATATTGTACTGCTTTGAGCAAAGGTCCCTGGGTACAAATAGGGTTGATATCTGGGGAATTTGTATGTACTCTGCACTTGCACCTCGTCTCTGTCTTTTAGAGAGAGACCTTGGATCTGAGTGTAGGTGCAATTCCAGAATATGTAATTTTCATTCATCTTCAAGTCTCCTGGTTAATGTTAATGCCTATGTTTTTTACATAACTAAATGAACAACCGAGATTGTGAAAAAGCATGAGAAAATGTGCCACTATTTGAACTAAAAGATAGTTACCTATTTTGGCAAGTATACCATAGAGTGCAGCTCAAGGTGCTATTTTGTGATACTGCAGTGATATATATCTTAATAGACTTGCCAAACTAGCCAAATTCTAATAAGAGTGGTATTCCCACTTTGCTGATAAAAAAAGAAATGATGAGAGAGAGAAAGGAAAGTGGTTTTACTAATCTATTATTACTGAATATTTACATATACGATTAAGAAATAGCGTCCTGGAAACTCAGTGGAAATTGCTCACAGTATATGAAGTTAAAGTTCCCATCATTTAGAAGTCTGATGCAAGCAAAATCTACTGTGAAGTGGAAAAATAGTATGCCTCATGAGGAAAAGAGGTCGCTCCATTTACAATTCTGTTAAAGAACTATTTACAAGAACTTAAAGAACTATTCTCCTTTCCCCTGTACCTGCTGTTTGCACATGTAGCTCTCCTTGTATGCAAAATCAGCTTATGGCTAAAAATTGCTGGACTGTGGCTTTCATATGCCATGTTAAGGTTTAGATACCTGCTGAAAGGCGCTGCTGAAAGGCTTATCTGACCTGCAGCCTGTCCTTTAACTGGTTTCCTTTGAAGCCCTAAAGGCCATCATAGCTGCTATTTTTAAACATAGCAGAAATATCTGAGGAGAATGGAGGCAGGGAATTGGTGCAGTAGAAACAAAAAACCTTTCCAAATTGGCTTGAACTTTAGTACACGATGTCATAAACTTTTAGTGTTGTGGCTTTCTGTGGTGTAAGAGATTGTCTGGTATTTCATTACAAGGTTTCCACAGAGCACAGGACCTTTAATGCAAAACACCCAATAAAATTCCACAAAAATACTCTGATTTTCTGAAGTAACCCTAAACTAACTCTGAAATAGAGAAAAAAGTGTGGAAAACGCTATCAATTCTCTGTGATTTTTTTTACTATTGGTGATACAAATGACACACTTAACGTGAGTATCTTTTTTTTACCTAGAATAATGTGCACTGGCTTCCTTACCTCAGTATATTTTGCATTCTTGCAATTATTGCATCATTCTGCATTGGACCAGGTATGTCTATAATTTTTCATGTTTCTCTGTACATCAAAGCATATATTTTTGCACTGGCAATATGTTAGCACCTTGCATATGGGGAATGTTACTTTAGCCGTGTCCAAAGGCACATGGGCTGTAAGACAATAAAGGTTATCCATGAAGTGATATCAAACTTCTCTTTAAAAACCTGCATACGCACATGTTGCCACTTAGCTGTCAGGGATGTATTAGCGTTTGCTGGCCACCGTGGCTGAGATGCAAACCATTATTCCCAGGTTGCAATTTTTGTATTTCATTTTCTTTAATAAAGAACACGTTTAAGGAATAAAAATGCACTAAAGGCAGGTCTTTGTCAGAAGCATGCGATGAAAGGACAAGAGCAACAGTCACAAGTTTCAGCAAGGGCAATTCTGAATGCATAGAAGAGAAATAATTTCATGCTGAGGGTGGTTAAGAACTGTAAGAAGTTGCTCAGAGAGGCTGTGAAATCTCCATCCTTGGAGGGTTTCAAAACTCAGGTGGACAAGTTCATGAGTAACCTCATCCAGCTTTGAAGCTGACCCTGTTTTGAGCAGGGGTTGGATCAGCTGGGCTCCAGAGGTCCCTTTCCGCCTAAATTATCTTATGATTCTGATTGCATCATGCCTTTGGAAAATGCATTTTAATAAATACTGCATAATATGCGTAATAGTTACCCGAGTGTAGCATTACCCTAAACAGTGTTGCCTTAGCATTCAGATACTTCAGTGATCAGACTTGGTCCATGCCGTTATCAAGTGATGAAATGTTAACAGAAATTATTTGCAGATAGATAAAAATAGATTCAAATTTAATTGGAATTCAGAATGTAGAGAATAAAATGTCAAAACAGTGCCTAAATTTTCAAAGATTCCCTTACAAACCATTCTACAAATAGGGAAAAAATCTATAAAACTGCTTTTATAGGCAGTTTTTCACGTATGTTCTGCTATAAACCTGAAAACCAGATTTCTGTTCCCCTGAGTTCTCAGTTTTTCTCATGCACCGTTTGCTGTCTCTTTTCTTTATAATGAGTTTAACACTGAACATTAATCATCTGTTTATACGTCTTCACCACTGAAATGATCTAATTAATTGATTGTGGTTTATTAGTAGAAAGAAAGAAAAAGTTGCCGATATTTTGTGCAACTCTAAACATACTGTAATGCTGTGAATCCTCTTTTGGAAAAGGTGATTGAAAATCGTGCTACTTTAAAGGAGACCTGGAAAAGATCAGAATATTTTTCCCTTACTGCTTGGGAAATAGTTTGTCACAAATCCCTATGCTTATTCCTTTGCATGTGGTAACCCACTGGAAGATGGAAGGTGTCAAATAGACTTGACTAGGAACTTGTAACCTCTCTTTCTCGGTTATTAATGCACCTAATTTTGGACCATAAATGACTTATGAAGGCTGTTCTTCTTCCTCACCTCCAGCTCTCCTAGTAAGGCCAATGAGGCAGACCATCTTGCAGTTCCCTTGTCCTGTTTAAGGATAAATCTCAGTTCTAGCTAAATCTTTAATATTGCTGGTGTATGTTTCTTAAACTGAGAGATTTTTTGAAAAGAGGTATTCAGAAAGCAAGAGCAGTTCTATTCCACTTGAAAGCTCCCCTTTCAGTGTTATAAGTAGTTTAAACAATTTCAGTTAAGTACAGGAACTTGCAGCACCTGCCTGTTTCTTTCAGAAAATACCGTTGAAATGAATTTGCAGAGTAATTTGTTCCCTATTTCCAATATGTTCCACCAATTTTTAGAACTTGCAGCTCGATATTTCCTACAATATATAACCAGCATTTTAAAATAAATGTTGTACATTTCCCCCTCAGCTTCACTGTTCCTCAGAATGGATTCTGTTTTCCTTTGCTTAGCTTCATTCCCTTTACCAATGCCGTTCAGGATTTTCTTTTGTGTTTTACAATTTTTTTTGTAGCAATGTGTCCACAGATATATGCAAGACTGACACAGCTTTTGTTCAACATTACTTAGTTGTTTTCTACAGAAAATTTTTAGGATTATATCATCTTGTGTGTTTTCCACTGTGGACATTGCTTGTAAAGCTGAACAACTTTATAGTATATTAGCTACCTAGCTGGCCTCTCCACCTTCCCTATGTATATTCAGATATTCTCAATATATGGCAATAGTAGGAACATCTCAGTAGCACTCAGCACTGATTTGCTTTTCATGAAAACTTGGGAACTGGCGCTGCTTGTGTTCATCTGTGGCTGTGAAGAAGTTGCAAATAATCATATTCTGATTCCGCAGTAAATCAATGGCATTTTTTCAGCTGGCTTTAATGGAGTCAGTGAAACTTCTCGGAGACTGATCTTCTGAATCTGAAACTTCTCCGACTGAGACTCTGAAACAGAGCTCTTCTTGGTGTTGCGTGGTGAGAGGGTGAGAGACAAAAGGCATAAGCTCAAATAAGAGAAGTTCAGAGTGACTATGTGGATATATCTTTTGCTTATAGACAGTCAAACAGGCTGCCAAACGGAGGCTGTGCAGTCTCCAACCTTGGAGGTTTTCAAGATGGAAGTGGATCAAGCGCTGAGCAGCGCAGCCTGACCTCACACCCAGCCCTCCTTTGGGCAGGTGATTGGGCAAGAGACCTCCAGAGGGCCCTCCCAACTCCTAAGATCCAATCTTTGCATCTATTTTATGAAACAGAAGTAAGGTTGCAAATTTCAACCTAGGTAATTTAGGGTTTAGTAATTTAGACTGACTAAGTAATTTAGACTGACTCTAGGCACAGTCCAGAGCAAGCAATGGTGCATAAACTAGAGGAGGCACCAAGCCTCAGATACCCTTTTTACACCAAAATTTCTCCCTGCTTTTCCCTATGTGGTGGTGTTGGGAGGAGGGGTGACTAAGGGTAAGAAGAAGCAGGAAGGAAAAGCAGTAATTTGCTGCCACCAGCTCATGCTCACATGAATTTATGGTGCATCCGTGCTGCAATATCTGCTCCAGTTAGGACAAAGGAAATAAACCATTTTCCAAACTCATCTCGTTTTTTCCATAGTGGCCTACAGGGAGAAAGTAGTCTTTTATCTGTGTGTGCCCAACCAAGGTCTGCCTGGCCCTTGCACAGATATAGTAGAAATGTTTATTGCCCTCATTATTCTTTCCAGGCAAGTAGACCCAAGTTAAACTCTAACCTTAATATTTTAGATACCAATGAACAGTATGTATCATTCTAATTTTTATGCGTGCGACTTTCCTGAACTTTGTAGAAGGATGCGTGAGAGTTGTAAATCAACTAATATCAATATTCGCAGGTCTTAGAGATAATATAGAGTATAGAAATAATGCAAATATACTGCCAGCTGCTTTTGTACCAACCAGTAGCTTATTCTAGTGGTAGCTTCATGCTCTTTGCAAAAGCAAGCTACTTTTCTTTAGAAGTGAAGACTTCTGATAAGGATTTTTTCAGCTTGTAACTTTATGTAAGACGTCATCTGAAAGGGTTTTACAGTCGATTTACAAAACTGGGGAGTTCCTTTTCAGCTTTCTAATCACGGACCAGCTGAACAGAAGGATATTATTTATACCAAAACATGTTTCCTGAGTATTTTGCATTTTCTTGAGTCTCATGATGCTGTTTAATCATACGAGAATCTAAAATTGGGCTGCCGCTGCACAAAAAAAGAAGGCTGAGTGAGGAAGAGGCACACCTTTCCATGCAGGCAATGCTATTCAAGTTCTAAAGCTGAGACCAAGCTATGGTGCTGATCCACATAAGTAGGTTTGTCCAGCCCTAACTTTTCAGTGTATGTGTCGTTGTTGGCAGTATTGACAGACCAGGAGCGTCCAAGCCAAAGGCCAAGGTGCTTCCCTGATCCGTCAGCTGGAGCCTAGCCCAAGCTGCCGGGATTTCTGGAGCAATTGTGCCACTTAGCAGTAGTGGCTAACAAAGGACTTAGCCCATATGATAACTCCAGTAAAGATAGAAGTTTTTTGGGGTAATCTCAGAATTTCTTAGGCTTGTTAGTATGAAATATGACTTTGTATTGCTATTATGTGAACTAATATTTAGGTGAATAACTAACTAAAGTAATTTAGGTTTTGTTTTTGCCTATATTTCCTTAAAAAAATAAAACACAATACACCGAAAAAAATTGAAGATATAAAACAATGAGATATTCAGAATGATTCCATAATAGAAAAAAATTTCAGTGTTTCTCTCATGCTAGGCAAAAGCTTAAATAGGATAATATAGTTAAAACAGCAATACTGTGAGTAAAATCAATAAATGGATGAAAATATTATTCAGAGATTCCAAGAAAATTTGCTCTCCACTGTATCCCCGAAATTTGCAGTTGCAAGTGCCTCAAGCAGCTGTTTTGCTAGTATCATCATCATCGTCAGCTTACCCTCTCCCTGCACAGAGTACTCATCAATGACCTGCTGCATATTTCTATCTCTGCCCCAATGAGAAAGGCAGTGTAAAATTTTTGGGTTATTAGTTAACTCATATAAAGTTGCATACCAGATTTCTTTCATCCCTTTTGCATAAAAGGGCAAGACATGGAATTACTTTGCAGGAGAACAAAGAAATCAGTGAATTGCCTGGGTTAAATTTTCTCTCTATGAAAGACCTTATTAGATGAGTAAAGGTGGGCTTACAGAGAGGAGTTGTTCTTCACCCATGAGTTACATCTAATGAATGGATCTGTGAAGACAGAGGAATGAGCCTTATCATGTCCTAGTGTAATGTCCTAGATAAGATGTAGTACAGTTAGGTTTCAAAAACTTGAGCATCAGGGACAAACAGTAGTTTGAAACATTTTGACAGTATGCCTAATGAGTTCTTTGGAATTCTTTCTGGGATTTCACCCTCAAACTTGGTAAAATTTAATTAAGGACCAGTCATGCTTCTCTTATTTATGGAATAAACCTATTATTGTTGGCTTTGGTGGAACAAATTCTAGTGGAGCAAAGACGACAGGTGAATAAGGATTCTCAGTCTTCAGTTACTACACAGAGATCAAGATTTA